TCCGATCACTGACCGGATGGGTAGGCAAAAGGAGCCAGAACAGCTACAAGCAAAGCTGCTACGAACAGCACGAGCATGCACATGCTCAAGAAAAGCGCCGTCAGCACAGGAGCCTACTAGGCGCGCAAGACAGACCCTCCCTTCCAAGGAAGGGAAAGCTTGAAAACGGCTGCGGACACAAAAACAGAGGTCCTACCAGGAGCTCTGCGCCCTCGCACTACAAGCCGAGGAAGTGTCAGTGACATGGAGAGCGGGGTGGAAACAAGCTTTTCTTCCTCGACGCGAGGACTGTCTCGTCTATGGGCTTTGCCCCACGAACCAGACACTCTGCGCAGGCCTTCTGCAAGACCGCAGAAAAGCTGACTATGGTACCTCGGCGCCTCCCGACGTCGGACCACTGTCCAGGGCTGCATGGGCGGCCATAGGAGGGTGCTCTGCACCAGGGGCCGGGTCGAAAAAGCAAGTCCGAACACTGTTCGAAGACGGCATCTTTTCCGACAAACTTTGTCTGCACTTTCGGCCGGGAAAATAAAACCCATTCACGCACGCATGATGGCTGCGTATTCTTCCTCAACCCACACAGTGCGCCGTGTACATATGCACCTGCAGACCATGCTTTCTCACGGGCATCCTGAACCCCGCGAGCAGGAACTTCCGCAGGAAGCATATCAAAGATATGTAGCAACGATTCGGCACATGGCGAAAAGTCCGGGTTGGATGCATACAGTTCGGCCTCACACGCTGCGACACGGGCAGGCGTAGCGGACACACTCTTGGCAGACTGCAATGGCTTCACACATCCTTCAGCCTTAAGGGCTGTCGCGAGTGTGCACCCTGAAGGTTTCTCTGATACTGGAAGCTCCACTGCCTGGACGGTGCCCTCCTCGGCAAGAACAGGTGTCTCGAGTGCACTACCCAGTGAATGCTTAGGTTCATCGCACTTCGGGACTTGAACGGATGATGCAAGTGCACACGCTGAAGATTGCTCTGGCAACACGGTCCTCGCATCATGACCTGGCAAAACATCGGCACCTGAACGGAACGATACGGATGATGCGAGTGCACACGGTTGCTCTGGTACCACGGTACCAGACGAGCATCGGCATCTGAACTGGAAGTTGCAGGCACGCTGGAACCCCTATGCCCTAAGGCGACACCACCTAAACCACAAGGACCTAGCGAGGCGGGCCGGGAGGCGGAGGCAAGGGAGGGTGTCGCCAAACTAGGTGACACGGCGGAGTGGGCGGAGTGGCAGCAGTTCGACCCACCCCCATCTCCAGAAACTGGTGACACAGCGACAAGGGGGTGCAAGAGTTTGGAACCTACAGGCACCACCATGCCCTGCACATGGAAGGGCTCCTTGAGGCGGTTTTTGCAATCCAGCTTTGGCTCTGCCTGCAACGGCACCTGCATGAAGAGCTTGAACTCGGGGACAGGTGAGAAGGACGCCTTGCGCGGCTGCGCCCCAATGCCAATCCGAGCTGCCTCGAGAGGTGGAATGACAGGATTCTGAACACGCAGGCAGGCTAGCATGGCAGCTGCGAGGCCACGGTATAGGCGGCCCAACACAACTTCAGAAGAGGCCTTAGGGGCAGGCTTAGGGTAGGGCGGCAGAAGACCAGCAATGCAACGGGGGGCGCAGACGATGCAAACCTTATGCAACCTTTCGAAGAGGACCCGAAGGAGGACAGGCCAATGTCCACCGCAGATGAAAGAAGCTGCTTGCCAAACAGCGTCGACCAGAAAGCCGATCGCGAAGGAGCTTCAATCGTCCAATGGCATTCAGCGTCCTTGCAGTGTTTAAGCAAACGCGAAATGGTAGAGACGCACTGTTCGGCAACAGAAGAAAGTGAATTCGCAGAAACATCATGGAAGAGAGACTTGGGGCAACGTATGTGAACCCAAGCACATTGTGGCTCACGCACCCAAGAAGCACACAGAGCAAAACCTCCTTGTGGGTCAAAATGTCCACTGGCACAATCGGCGCTGCAGCAGCCTGCGAGCATCCACTGCCGATGGCAAAGGAATTTGGCAACACCGTCCGGAGAAAGCCACACAAGCTTGCACGCCTAGCAAAAACTTCCATGCAAAAATTGCGCTTACTGCAAAATGCAGTCGGCTGCGAGATGGGAGCAGGTGGATGCACAGGCGACAAAGACGATTCCGGCACAGCATGAGCCAGAAGGTCGCCTGTGCAGATGTCCTGTCACTCGGTGCTGGAGGAATCGTGATCAATCATGGCGTGGGCCTTGTAGCATCCCGGCTTGCAACAGACATGCTTGAACTTGCACTTGGCTCCAGCCTTGCACTTGCCCAGGTTGAAATTGAAGCAAATGGGCTTACTGTCGGGCGTACGGGAGTGCATGCCCCTCAAGGCATCGGGGATGGGATCACGAGTGACTTTAACCTTCTTGCCTGGAGCCTCATCGGCTTTCCCTGACCGCTTCTTCTCATTGCCAGAGCCGGGGCTAGCATTGGCCTGGCCCGGGCTGTCCCTACGCTTGCCTGTACCCTTGCCGCGTCCTTTCACGGGGAGCAGAAAGTACATGATGCTCGAATTGAATTCGAGCTTCTCGAACTCCTTGTCAAGGGGGAGGGCTCCTGTAGAGTCGGGTTTCAGATTCCCATTGCAAACCCGGGCAAGCTCCAAGAAGCACTGGCGGTCTGCACGCAGCACCTGCGCCCTTGAAACCCTCTGGAATTCCGGAGGAGGCTCTTGGCTCATGATACGGAACAACCGCTCGTTCCATTTCTGCACGACAGCATAAGTAGCTAACCCCACGAGGTCCATAGCAAGGGCCCTCCTGACCATCGCTTGATAAAGCTGCAGATCAGTGTCAATGGACATGGCCGTAGTCGCGGCTTCATCCTTGAAAATCAGGCCTGTTTTATTAGCATCAAGTTGAAGGGCCTTGGGAGGCTTCTCATTGCACAGCTCGGCGTCTCGAGTCAAGCACTCGCTGGGTGGGAGATATTTGATTTCGTCGTTTTCACGCATAGTTGCCAACTTGTCATACACGCCATGGGCAACAGCAAGAGGGCCTTCCAAGGGGAGGCCAACCAGTCTCTGTTTCTGGGCCTCGATGCGCATTGAACGCTCTGAAGCGGGCAGCTTGCGATGCAATTCCTCAGTAGATTGCATTGTAGAGCGGAGCTCAGCTACCGTCATGGTTTGCGCCTCAAAGATAAGCTGCTTCATGGCCGAGCTATCACCAAGAGTAATCGGGGCACCTGGACGCAATGTTGAAGTGAAGTTCTCCATGTCATCGGGAGACGGCTGAGTGCCCGGAAGTGACACCGTGTAACTCAACTTCCCCAGGGTCGTGACCCTGGAAGCTCTCAAGGCATCGATCCACACCCGAGCGAGCCCCACTCTCTCGCACTGTCGGTCGAAAGCAGCAGTCGAAGACAAGACAGAGGTAGAAGCCATGATGCCTAGTGCACGAAGGTTTTGTTACCTTAAAGTCGAAACAAGACAAAACAGAAAAAGATATAATTGTATGCTCACCTGACTTGTTGCGAACATGCATGCATGTCTCTACCGCAAACTGCACTCAGCCGGCGAGCAAAAGTCGTGTCTGGTCTGCATCACACATGCACATCCAGACATCGCACAACCGACCGCACACTGGTCACGAGAGCACACTCCCGATGTTTTCGCGCGCAGTGCAATCAGCTGCGCTTCATAAGCACATCCAGCCGGTCAGCCATTGCACCCTTGGAAGCAAGGAGTTCCCCTTTCCAGCACACGGCACACCGTGGCCACTTGAAATATGCTCCATCGAGCCATCTGTATACAGCCGAAGTCCTTCGACGACACCGAGTTTTAAAGGCATTCCGATCCCCATGTACACGATGTAGCATTCGGGATTTCACATGCTGCCAGCAAGGCTCATCAATCTCAAACGGCTGGGCAACTCCACAGTGAGCAAGGGTCTGCTCTTCGGTTTCACTGGCCTCCGAGGAACTCGAGCTCGAGGAAGAGGAAGAGCTACCCGAGGAGGGGGAGTCGGGCGGGTCATCCGCCCCAGCAACCTCCGCGCCAGGCTCTGACCTTCTGGCGGGGGGGTCAGACTCATCCATGCTGGGCACCTCGCCGAGAAAGTCGACCTCGTCCCAGGACCCCACCCAAGTCACCGATGGCGGCTGGCTCAGAAACATTGTGGGCTCTGTAATTTTCCAACTCGTCATGGGCACCAGGATCCAATAAACCCAAACCCCCTGCTGCAGGAGGGCCGGAAGATGCCTGCAAGGCTTCGGCAGCGCCCACATCAGCACTCAAAAAGCCACCGGTCTTTGGCAAACCCAAATCGTCGCATCCTGCAAGCCAGCCTGAGCGAGTCGCGTCGGGCTTGAAAGTGTTGCACCGGATCTCACGGAGCATGGCTCTGTAGGCTCTGAGTGGGGCACTCAAAAGTTCTCGGCTGTAGCATGCTAAAGAGCTGGAACCCGGAGCATGGTGTCCAAGTAGCAGGCCGTCGCGCTCACTGAATCCACGTTTGCCCACCCAGGCCAAGGTCGTACCCTTCAGCACGTGTGATGTGCGCCGCTCCGGCCCCTCCAAGTTCAAAGCGTTGCACAACATAGCGCCGGCTTCGGTAGAAGAACATCTCCTGGCACAGAGGTGGCTGCTGCTGTTGGGCGCCCGTACGAGTGGACCAAAGGGGACGCAATCCCAGTCGACGCCCAATTGTCGCCCCGCATCAAACCAAGCTGCCACCCAACCAGCCTCAGTTACTCCCGGAAATGGCGCAACCAAGGGCATGGCCCGTTTCTTGGTACGAACCGTATTGCTCGTTTTGTGTTCCCTTGTCCGGGCTTCCACGAAGCCAGACACCCGCTCATCATCATCGAAGTCGATCCAAATTGAGTATATCTGTTTCAGGTCCGACCACCTGGATCGACTGAAGAGTGCAAACAGGAGGCCCCCTAAGACGTAAGTGTCTATGACGCACAGAAGACGCCCTGCAACCATCCTCTCAAGCTTGGCCACCGCTTCCACAGTCAGAGGTGTCTGCTGCTTGGCCTCGGGCTTTTCTCCTGCCAGCCTCTTGGCTCTCCCTTGCAGTCTGCGATCTGCCAAAATGTCCGCCTGAGAAGGAAGCCCCATCACATGGTGAGCAAAGTTGATTGCCTCGAAAAGGCCGCTGACCGCACTGACCGAGTCACCCAGGGATTTCACAAATGCCGTGACAGAAGTCAAATCCCAAGGCCAAACAAAGTGGCGTTCCCTTTGATGCCACCTGAAGCATCGAAGCAAGGAGTTAGCACGCTTAATCGCAGTCCTCGGCGACTTAAGTCCAAAGACATCCCGAAGAAGTTCATCACGCGCGGCCTCGCCTTCCGCGGTGAGGCACTGTGCAGCTTGTTCGCCCACTTGCCCCGGGTCGCTGTGGGCCAGAAGAAAAATGGTGCACCACTTCCCCACAGCTCTGGCCCAAAGGAGTTCATCCTCCTCTTGTACGGGGACATCCGCCCTAGCAGCGAAAGATTGCTCGTACAGTGTACTCGGAACAGGCCTCGTACGTGAGGCAGAGGATCCGTCGGGATCCACGTCAGCTGTCGCTGCATCCTTGGTAGGTGCTCCCGGTTGTACCACCAGGGGCTTCGGCAGGATGCCATCGCCAAAGATTGCAGCCAAAACACCCGACTCCCAAGGCAAGCGGGGCAACGAGTCTGGTAGGCCTTGCACACGAGCAGTGAAAAGAAGCCGATCAATGTCTGAGTCAGCTACTGCCGGGGCGACACCGGCTGTATCATTCCCCCGTTCCGAAGCCAAAGGAGCCCCCTCCATGATTGCGAAGACCAGGCAGCTGCCTCAAACCAAGGGCTCCGGGCCCGGATTGCTCACGAAGCTCTGGAAAGCCCGCCGCAAAGCAGTAAGAAAATGCTCCAGAAAGCGCAAGCGCTGCGTGATAATATCGAATTGGGACCTCTGCTCCTGTTGGCAGGCCCGCAGCTGCTCTTCCAAAGCAGCAATGGAATTCTGCTGGGCCTGCACCCGACGAGCAAGGTAGCCAAGGCCCGCTTGAAGGCTTTGCAGGCTGTCGGCGGAGGCCTCACTTTCCAGGTCACGATCCGAAGCAGGGGCCGAATCCATGGAGCACCCGCAAAAATAATCACCACAGCTGCACACAGCCGAAACTTTGCGCGAGAATGCAGATTCAAATGCAAAGTTCCAAAGATACAAGGTATACAAAGTACCAAGCTGCACACAGCAAAATTCAGCATGAATAAGGTTCAAAGCATGGCACCCACATGNNTCAACATGAAATTTTCGAAAGGTTGCATGCCAAAATTTCAAGTTTCATCGTCTTTAAGACTCAAGCAGACAAGTCTGCCAAAACGCTTAAAGCCTCAAGAAATGTTGAGCCACCTCGAGCCAAACTGCTGCAGCTTAGGGTTGGGCAGGAAGGGTAACCAAGCACAACACTAAACCCTAAACCCCAAAGACACAACTCGCGGACAGTACCTTCGTTTTCACTCCGGTGCCAGTGGGATTTGTTCATCAGCCACTCTCGGTGAGAGGCTGCTGATGAAGAGCATGGAAACTCTGCACGGCTGCGAGGAGCAGCCCACAAGCTACTTGGCCGGAACGGCGGTGTGCAACTTGAAGGAAGCTTCTCAAGACTCGAGAGAAAGTTTTGCTGACTGAGCTCGCTGTTTCCAAGGCGCACAGCGGACGCGTGCTTCGCAAGAAAAGGCGCACTGGCTGGAAAGCCGTGCTGCACTGCAAGCTACTAAGCCAGACTTTTCCCCAAGACTTTTCCTTAGGGACGGGTGGGCGGGTCTTAAAAATGCAAGCTGCCGCAAGGCTTGCATCTATGCTTAGCTGCAAAGCTCCTGGAATATGCTTGTGGCATGTAGCACTCTGCGGCGCTG